GAATTAATTATGAGATTATTATAGACAAAAAACACTTATAAATAATTTTATGTTGAAATTAATGAATTTTTTCGTATTGAATCTAGCTTTTGCAAGAATTAAAACTCTAGAACTTGATTATGTTTAACGACCAAAGCGTTAGTTATATTTATTTGCGTTTAGCAAATGAAAAACGAACAGCCATGATAAAGCTAACAGAGACGAAAAAAAAAAGAAATGAAATAAAGTTCCTAACAGTGAAAGTCGATTGAAAGAGACAAATAAACAAAAAAGAAGAAGCAAAAAGATGAGAATCAGAACACAACCAACAATAACGAAATGCGAATGCATATATAGAGGTTAAGGTTTTTTTTATTCAACTATGACTCATATAGAAATAAGTTATACGGAAGGAATGTTAATTAAAGATATTTGACGATGTACTTTAAAAGTTTTGATAATTGTCAAAGTCTTTTATAAATCAATATGTGGTTCATCCGAATCCTAAACAAGTAAGATAAAAAAAAACAGATTATATAATTTTAGAAAAAAAAAACAATATTAAGTTTCAAATAAACATACTCTTGTTGATTGCTTATCTTCGTCTAATTTTGTATTTGTATCATCATCAATAATATTTTCATCTTCATTTGTATCGAGTTTAGTCTCAGTTTCTTCATCAATAGGTTCATCTTCAACTTTCTCATCTAATGATACACCCATAGCACGTCGTAACATTGTTTCAATACGATCAGCAAAACCAGCTGAATCTTTTAAGTCATAACCTGATCGAAGTGTTGCAGCTTCAACCATAACATTAGCTAAATCAAAAGCTGTTTTATCATCTTTTGAATCTTCAACACGACGAAGTAAATCTTTAATAAGTGGATGACGTGGATTTATTTCTAATGTTTTCTTTTGATTTAAATAAAAATTCATTGTTGAATCACCACCACTTTTTTGATATGCTTGAGCACGAGCTATTCTTTCCATATTACCATCATAACCCCATTGTGATGCAACAAGTGCCATAGGTGTTTTAACAAGACGATCAGATATTTTAGCATCACTTATTTTTTCACTAAGTTTTTCTTTAAGCCATGTTAATAATGGTTCATAAACTTTTTCTAAATGTTTCTTTTCTTCTTCTTTCTTTGTATTTGATTTATCTAATTCTAAACCATCTTTAGCAACATTTTGAAATTTCTTTCCTTCATATTCAGGTAAAGATTGCATACAATATTGATCAACCGGATCAGTTAAATAAAGAACTTCATAACCTTTTCTTAAAATACGTTCAACAAATGGTGATTTTTGTGCTTCTTCAACTGACATAGCAGAAATAAAATAAATATGTTCTTGTTTTGGTTTCATACGTTCAACATATTCAGTTAAACTAATTAATTTATCTTTTGATAATGATGTTGTAAATCGAAGTAATTTAGCTAAACGTGTACGATTTGCTGAATCTTCAATAACACCTAATTTAATATTTGTACCATATTCTTTCCAGAATGCTTCATAATCATCTGGAGAAATTTTTTTTAACATATCTAATGCTTTTCGTACAAGTTTCTTTTTAATAACTTTAAGTAATTTTGATTGTTGTAAAGTTTCACGTGAAACATTCAATGGTAAATCATCACTATCAACAACACCACGAATAAATGATAAATATTTTGGCATCATTTCTTCGAAATTGTCAGTAATAAATACACGACGAACATAAAGTTTAATAGCATCAGTTTTTTTATTATAATTTGAAAATAAATCAAATGGTGCTGCTTTTGGAACATAGAGTATGGATTTAAATGTTACTTCACCTTCAGCAGTAAAATGACTATAGATCATCGGTGCTTCACTATCTTTAGCAAATGATTTATAAAAAGCATGATATTCTTCTTCAGATACATCAGCTGATCTAAAATAAGATTGGAAAAATTTCTAATTAAATCTTAGAAATTATTGAAATATTGAATAAAGTGTCCTATAAATAGTATTTTAGACAGTGGAATCCAACAATGATTGATATACTCAAGGAAGGAACACACTAATCTTGGAAGTTAATAAAATTTCCTGAGTAGTACAGTCTAGAGCCCATTGGATCATTTTTCTATGGTTACATTGAATGAAAATTATTGTAGGATGGAATGAACTAATTATTCAATCTAACTCAACATTATATGGGTTAAGTCTTGTCTTTCGATAGATTCATTTACCGATTAACCATAAAAAATTCTGATTATTAAGACATAATTCTTATTCGGTGACATACCACTAACATTCTAACAGAGATTAGAAAAATTTTAATAAAAAATTTTCCAATATTGTAATGATAGACGGTTAGTTGTATAGTAATTATTTTTTCCGACTATTTTAATTATCGCTATCAAGTATTATTCACCACTATTACTACTGGTTACAAATACAAAACGATAGAATAATAAAAAAAAGTAATAATAAACTATAAACGTCTCAAGTTTGTTGATCAACTGTTGAGATTGTTAGAAAAACTATTCTTGATAAAACAGAACTTGTATAGCTGTTGAATATTGTTTTTTTTTGACTTACTTTCGTTGCCAAATTGGTTTACTTTCATTCATTAATTCCCAATCCCAAACAGTTTTATCGACTGTTTTTGTCTTTGATTTCTTTTCTTCGTCTTTATCATCTTCAACAGCTGCATCATCATCTGTTTTCTCATCAGTTTTTTTCTCTTCAACAGCTAGACATCAAAAAGAAAATATAAATATCATTAGATATTAATAATCGTTCATTTACCATCATCGTCCGGTACTTCTTCTTTGACAACTTTTGATTTCCATAAATAAATATTAAAATTAATAAATTGTGAATATTTACGAATAATTTCTTCAAGTGTTGATACTTCTAAATATTCACCAGCTTCTTCTTTCAAATGAAGACTAAAAATTTAAAACATTAATAAAACAAGTCGAGATTATTTTTTGTATATTTTACCTGACTGTTGTTCCACGACCAAGTGTATTACCTCGAGGATCTTTAAATACATTAAATGATGATGAATCAGATTCCCAAATATATTGTTCATCAGCATTATGTTTAGATGTAACAACAACTTTATCAGCCACAAGAAAACTTGAATAAAAACCAACACCAAATTGTCCAATAAGATCACTCATTGATGTACCATCTTTACCATCTTTTTGTGCTTCTTGAACTTTATTTAAAAATTCTGATGTATCCGATTTAGCAATTGTACCAAGAAATTGTACAAGATCAGCTTTTGTCATACCAATACCAGTATCTGTTATATGTAACATACGATTATCTTTATCAATTTTAATACGTATTGTTAATTCTTCTTTATCACCAAGTACACTTTTATCCGTAAGAGATAGAAAACGTATTTTATCAAGTGCATCAGATGCATTTGATATAAGTTCACGTAAAAAGATTTCTTTATTTTTATATAATGAATTAATAATTAATTTCATCATACGATTAACTTCAGTTTGAAATTGATGTTTTTCTGATGCATCAAGTAATGTACGAAATTCTTTTGCACTTAAACCATCTAATTTAATAGCTTCTTCTTCTCTAAAAGTAAAAACAAAAGAAAAGAAATAATAAATATTTAATAGAAAAAATTTTCTTTCTTCATTATAATAATTACTTTTGTACAACTTCATCATCAGTTTTTGATGCTTCACTATGTTTTCCTATATCATTATCAACTTTTGGTGGAACTGCTGTTGATGTTGTATCTGCATCATCATCAGCTTTACAAATATCTAAATAAAACAAACGTATAAAAATTTAAAAGAAACTTTTACGATTAATATGATTTTATCTTACTTGAAAACAGAAATATGCTTAGTAAAGCAGAAAATAAAAGCCACTTGAACATACTCGATGAAATGGCACACTCAATGGGTTTGTTTTGTAAAGAAATGAGATTACTTTAACTTTTAGTTTTTTTTAATATAGGCAACTTGGTGTTCTGTTCAAATATGAATGATTGATTATATTAACCAATCATTTGTCGCCGTGTATTGCTTCGTCAGATGTATTAGAGAAGATGTCGTTGATTATTAATGTTACTATTTAAAATTTTATGATGAAAAATTTTTTAAAAATTCAGTTTTTCTTTTCTTAATTTTATAAATATATAAAATATAATTCAAGATAGTTCAATTAAGCATTATGAAGGAAAGAGAATTCTAAATGGTTGATTTAGTAGGCGTAACCAGGACATCGTAACTGATACGGGTAGAATGCACAAAACGTCGACTACTTTCGATAGACAGACTGCTTTACATTTCACATAGAATAGCATAAAAATACGTAGTACATTTCATTGAATAAAATAATACATTTTTTCCAAGAAGATTATAGGCAATTTATTAAACAGAAAAATAGTATTTTTTTGTTTTTTTGAATATGTTACTTTTTAAAACTTTATCCTTGAATTTCTCTTTGATTATATCAAGAAATGAAGGACAGAAATGTTTTTTTTTTGCTTATCATCCGTTTTGATCATTAATAGGTGTTTTTCGATTCTGATCGAAGAATATGGTCCGTAGACGATGAAATATAACACATCAATCGAGGCCATATTTCTTCGTAAATATAAGGCCAATAATATGGTTGCATGTTTGACAGGATACAACAACATTAGAACGTACTACGGTGATTGACGATACGTCAAAAGGATAGCCTAAGAAAATGAAAAAAAAATGATTTGTTATGCTTCAAAACGTTCTGTATAAAACTTTGTCACTGTACATTTGATACACTTCGCTAACGACAAAAAAGGTGTACACGTACAAGCTGCTAGTATAAACGAATTGTAAAAAGACAGTTTTTATCGAATTTCAATAAGAAGTGTTAGTAGTAGAACAATGCTTAGCAATCTTCCGGAAGTTCATAAATTAGACAGTCAATGATAGTAATGATTACGCTGTTCTTTCTTCTGGAAGTAGGATGAAAAAGACTAGTGGTAAAGCATTGCCTAGCCTAGATCATTTTTGGTTGTACCACTATATTGATTTTTTATTCCTTAAAATACGAATACAAAAAACAGAAAATGCTACACATAACATAATAATTGATATGAGAACAACAGAAAAATTAATTATAACTGGTACTTTCCATTTGTTAAAAATAGTTGATTGTATAAACGTTATTTGAGTTGTAATGGTAATTTTTGTCTTTATAATTGTTGTTTGATTTATATCAAAATTAAGTTGAATAAGACGATTTTCACATATAAATGTTCGTAAAGAAAATAATTTTGTATGACTACGTTTTAAACTTAACCAATAATATTTATGAATTGATGGACAAGGACTTGATTGAGTATTAATAATTAATGTTGGTGTAAGAAATATTGCTGTTCGTGTTTTAATATTATATGGCTCATCGATTTGAAAATATTGACATGTTATATCAAGAAAAATCAATTGTGTATCAAGTGGAATAAAATGATTAAAAGAAAAAATTGGTTTAAAACAATTCGATAGTTTTAAATCAAATTTTAATGGACCTTTAAAAAGCAAAAATTTTTTTTTTTATTATTTTTATTTAAATTCTTTTACCTAATTGATTAATCATTATAATAAATTGATCAAATGAATCTGTACGACCTTGATTAAATGACCATCGGGATAAATTTTTTGGATAAAAATCATAATCTTCTTTGTATTGTCTTGCCATAAAATGAATAGTACAATTTTGAAAAAATATACGACGAAGACTTTTTAATTTTTGTATACTTTTTATATTAATATTTATACATAAATTAATTAATTTTAATGTTGTTATACTTTCTTGTAGAATTGTTATATTTGATGAATAGAATGAAATGAGATCTACTAATGTTAAAAAAAATTGAGAACAATTTTCTAATGGTAATTCATAAGAAATTGTCAAATCAAGAGTTTCTTTTGTTGTATTAATATAATAATCTGTGATGAGAAAAAAAAAATATTCGTAAAAAACTATCTTTTAGTCAGTTTACCAATTGTTTTGTTAAGATGTATAATTGTAGAATGTGCACTACAGTGTACAAAAAATTCAATGAAGACAATGACTGTATTAATACAGATAAAGAACATATTAAATAATGGTTGCATATAGCAACTATATAACTTATGATAAATGGTAATTAAAATTCTCAACAAATCATTGCGCTAGTTCATTTACTAGCACAAATTATATGATCATTTTTCAACAAATGAATTCTATTTTTCAGATGATATACACTTGTTATAAGATTAGTTAAAATAAAAATAATTTAAACGACACATTGTTCTGTTTTCATTTTTATTTCTTGAAAAAATCAAGCATTATACAACATAAAACGAGTTCAACCGGTAATTTTGAGTTAATCAGTCCAATTTGAAAACTATATAAAAGATGGGTGGTAATTTGCAAAAGAAAGATATCACGGCTACAGTCGCAATTGGCACAAGGCGAACCGTTTGATGGTTTAATTCAATAAAATGACGTAATTGTTTGTTTTTTTTCTAAATAAAAAATTTAAAAAATATTTTTTTTTCAAAAAAAATTAAATTAAAATATTTTACGAAATGATCGCTGGATACAAAAAATTGCAAGTGGATTTTTCTTTGATATATATAAAACGATGGCGGCCGCTTTTTCTTTCTTCCGTTTTAATTTTGGTCATAGTTGTTTGAATTAATTTTTTGCTATCTTGATGGATTCGATCAACTACGGGTTCAAGTCCTTTAAAAACGATGTTCGAGAAAAGGTTTTGTTTAGTTTAAATAGATTGGTTCCATGGGCGGTGTTTTAAATGCAATAATAGTTTTTAGCCATGCAAAATAAAAGAGTTGAATGATTTGTTGCCGAAGCTGTTCAGACTTGGATTCGGTATATATTGTATTGAATTTTTGCCATTCATTAATTTGTGATAGAAAAAGGCTACGAGAATCATTTGATTCTGTAGTCCTATTGATATTATCTTCCTGATCATTTTGATTTTCGACAAAACCATCCATTTCGTTGAGTAAATTTTCACGATGACTTCTAAAGACATAAAAAACATGTCTTCCATTTGATCGCAAGACTCTTTTCGCAATTCTTTCTCACACATTGTACATTAGTTCGATGTTGTCATCGCTTTCAAACTCAACTATTAATTAGATCTATCAACTATAAAAGAGAAATAATATACATTAGAAAGTGTAATACAAATATCTAAAAAGTTAATGACTAAGAACATCTTAAATAAAATTATTCAAAAATAATTGTCTATTTCAAATATTCATTTGTATATAATAGAAGAAAAAAAAACCAAGTTTGTTCTAATCTATTTCAAAGACGTAAAGGTGACCCTTTCAAATTTATTGTCTTTACTTACTTGTGATAAAAGAAAACGAAAGATGACTTTACATCAGTACACTTTCTTTTTCTTCATCTTGAGAGTGCAACAGAAAAAAAAAGAAGAAAAGGATTTTTTCGTTTCTTTCTTGCAACATGTACACAGGAGTGTCATATTCTGTGCGTTTGTTAATCAGAGAATGCAGAACAAAAGGCTTCAAGCTAACATTATGAAGGTGTACATACTGGCAGTTAAATTAAAATGCACATAGAATCATTTAGTAACCTTGAACGGGAATATTCATTTCAATCGAACTAAGCATTTGAGTAGTATGTTTTAAGTTAATTATTATTAGAACCAAAGCAAGTAATGCTAATGATTGTATAATAAAATAAAAATTATGTTTATCAAATTTTGAATTTTATTTTATTAATTTTATGATACTAATCAATGTTCTGATTTATTGCATCGATATATATTCTTATTCTCAGCTCTTAATTATCTATTGGAAACCAGTTTTAGTACAACTATCTGTGTTCTATTTTAAAAGATATAATAGTTATTAACTTTGATATCAAGCAAATAAACATATGTCATCATCATTAAACAAAAGCCTAAGAAACCAAGCACATAGATTTACTATAGATAACTATTTGTAAGGAAGTTCTAACTATAATACGTCTAATCAAACGATAAAATAACATTTAAGACAATAGTACAGTAGCGAAAAGAAAAAATCACTAAGAACGAAAATTAAGTAAGTAGGATTGTCAAATACAACTTGAAATTTCAGAAAAATTATTGTCAAATGGCATTTTAATAGTTTATAAACAGAATTGAATAATAAAGAACTTGAAAAGAATAATTACATATTTAACTGATAATTCTTCAATATAACAGTGATATGTTGTTTGATATCTGATGCTCATTTGAAATATCTTTCAAGTATAAAACCAATCTTTTTAATTATTATATCCATTTCTCTATTTGTATGATATTTGATTATTGTTATTTTGAGTTTAAATGGCATTATAAAGATTCTAGCAACCTGTTACCACATTTTTTCGTTTCATAATCTATTTCATTCATTAACTACAAAATAAAAATAGTTCAAGCATATAATATTCAATCAACTGTCGTCCTTTATCTGTTTCTAAAGAATAGTTACTACACTATTTCATCATATAAACATGGTATTGACGAATAATTATCCGTAGCAGTTTTTTAAATAAGGATTTCCTGATACGCAATGTCCGTTCTTAATCCTATATTAAGTAACTATGTTGATACAGTTCAAGTGATTAAACTATTTAGTTAAACTTCAACAAGAAAGGAAAATTATTTTTCTCAAAGATTATCATAATGTAGTTTTGCTCCAAATTATTGATAGTTGTTACACTCTTCTGGTTCATGTGTTCGTTAAAGACGTAAATAAACATGCATCTACATTAGATGGATTAAAATTAGCATCTTCCAATGTGATTGTTGAAGTTGAAATATTCATCGAACGAAAATAATATAATATAAACAATACAATCTATTGATTCAATAAAAAGAAGACTTTGGTTTTCCTAAATAATTTTCGTTTGGGTCGACTGTATTCATATTGTTCAGGACGATAAAAGAAGTAAATTGTGACCTCTTCCTTATATCATTGAATCGATTGGGTCATTTCAAACAATGATGATTCATATTCACCAGATACAAAGAACGAACATTCATTCATATATAGAAATTCTTTAAAAACAAACATGACTTCGAAGGAATCTAATGGTGTTCGTATTATTCTAACCCCAATAAAAATAGTTCGTGATTCAGTCACTGGTCAATGGTCAACACCAAGATCGAAAAATGATTCAATACAAAAAGTTAAATATAATCTACGTGTACGAACACCATCAACGCCTGTTGTTTCATTATCATCACCTATCACAAAAAAAGAAACAAATCATACACCAAGACCATTAACACGAGCAAGTCGTCAAATAAGTTTTGAAAAAGATAAAGATGAATATGAACCAGATCGTTCTTCTTCAACTGATGATGACGATGATGATGAAGAAGAAGAAGATGAAGAGGATGATGATGAAGATGAAAGTTTATCAAGTGACGATGAAAAGTTTACATCAAATAATAACAATACTCGAAAATCAACTTTAATTAGTAAAGGAACACCAGCTACAAAAAAACCACGAACACCATTTTTACCACGAGTAAAATCTTTGTTTCAATTAAATTACTTATCTTTTATTATAATCATTCTTAGATGAATACAATTACATTATCTGATTTACAAAATGACGATGATGGTACAATATCGATTGATATTTCTAATGATGTATTTGCTCAAGCTCGACAACGGTTGATATTGTTTTTTTTTTTTTTATTTTTCTTTTATAATAATCAAATAGATGTTGATTTAGACTTTTACCAACAAATTTACCTGAAGCACCACCATGTCGTGAACAAGAATCAAGTTCTATTGCAGCATTTATTACAAACAAACTTGATGCACAAGCTGGCGGGTAAAAAAAACAAAGAAATTTCTAATCAAAGATTCTTGTTTCTTATAAGATTTTACACGCGAATGTCTTAGAGTTTATTTTTGTGTTTTAAGCATATGTGAACATGAACAAACTGGTCTCACTTCCGGCAGGAGCAGAATTAAAATTTCTTTTTCTTTTGACTAAGATTCAAATTAAGACTAACAGAAGCAGGATAATTTCGGATAAACTATTGGAGCTTTATTTTCTCTAAATTGTGCGAGCTTGTAAACTGTTGCTTTCTTTAATTTCGAAAGATTTAGACAACGCTTGTTTTCCACTTTGTGAAGGCTTTATGCAGTGGGACTATTCTACCTGTAAAATAGTCGACATGTTTTTAAATTATCCAAAAGTTTTCAGGTAACAGAGTTCATAATTATTCCTTGAGATTTGTCAAGTAACTATATGAGCTTGAAAAGATTTCGAAACTATTTGTCACACAGTTAGAAGTCATCTCATGATTTCTTTGATATGGGAAAATATCTATGCAGTCTTAGATGGCGAAATCAGTTTTTTTGTTTTTCAAAAACATCATACGAGCTTGAGTTTCCATATGGAATCCAATGATTTAAATATGAAAAAGTTTCTCCTAGAAAAGTCTACAAGACAAAATAGAGGTTTTTAGAAATCTACACTAATATTTGCTACAAATTCATAGGTTTGGATTTCTGTGTAAATTTATGAACTTCTCTTAGAGTTGAGCTGTTATGTAAAAAATAGTTGAAAACAATAAAATTCTTGCGCATTTGTAACTATGCAAAAAATAGTACAGTACGTTCATCAAATTTCGTCTGCTTCCGAACACTTATGCTTTGGACAACAACTTTCTCTGATTTTCAAAAATACTTCGCTACTGCTTTGAACTCTTAGCCTAACCGCTATAGACAACAGATTCAAACTTACGGAATTCATTACTGAATAATTTCAAGCAATAGTGACCAAGCTTTTGCTAAACATACTACCAGATTCTTAAAAACAACAAAAGCTGATATTGCTCATGCATAAATAGACAAATTGTTTATTCTCATTTTCTCTAGAGCATTATATATAAGTGGTGTTCCCGGTGTTGGAAAAACAGCTATTGTAAATAAAGTGGTACGTGAATTAATGCTTCTTTCAAGTGATTCTGATTTACCACAATTTAAATATATATTTCTTAATGGAATGAAATTAAATAAACCTGAAAAAATCTATAATCAACTTCTACAAGTAAAACTTTTCTTTAATTATATTCATTTGATTGATT